AAGCCAAATTTGTAATTCCTTGTACATCTGTTTATCTTGTATTATATCTGTTCCTCTAGTAAACCCTGACTGATACAGGAGGAAATACAATTTTTCTGAAGATTAGACTAGACATGGGAAATCTTACAACAGCACAAGAATTCAATTGACAGTGCCAGTTGAAAAGAGATTGAAAAAAGAGCACATCACATAGAGATCTCTAAAATTTTAGTTGTCTTCCATAAATATTATGACCTTGGGCAAATTGCTTTAGTTCTCTCCACTTAGATTCCTTACCTTAGAATCAGTTAAAAATATCTAGACTGTAACATTGCTTCAAGCCTTAGAGATAGTATATGTAAAATGTTAACTCAACATTCAATAATTACGCTTAATGCACAAGGTGCCATAAAAATATTGCATATGTATAAATTCAAAACACTACGTATATATAAATTGATAAAAAAGAAAATGCAAAGTTATGAAGTTATATTTCCACTTTTACACTATTAGGTTTAATAACATTTTAAATATTAGTCCACCATTTTAGTACATAAATATTTTATCACATATATTTGCTAACAAAGTACAAATTAAATGCCTCATTGTAATGGAATAATTGAACTTGGAAACCATTTCCGAATTTGAAAAGGAAATAAGTAAGAATCTTAAGGATTTTTTCTGAAGTGCTTTCTAATAAAAGTCTGTGTAGAAAAATAGATTTTTTTTTCTAAAAAGCAAAGACTCCAATGACTCATATTGCTTTGCAGTTGCATTTTAACATATGGCTTCCAAGTAGGAAGGTTGTGGTTTTTAATGTTTTATGTTGGTTTGATAAGTGTCTAAGACTATTTAGTCAGCAAATGTTCATCATGACACACGTTGCTCCCTAAACACTTGGCTTTGCATTTCATGGTATTTTCTTTGAATTTCACTTAATGATTTTCCAAACTGCCAAGCAAATCTACTGAATTGTGGAAAATTTTGCTTTTTCATGTCATCAAGACTCTACTCACCTGGTATTTTCCTGGAAATAGAAGTCAGTAAGAAGCATAAGCCTCACACATCATCGTAATGCAGAGAACAAAACCAACCTAATTTATAATTTTATGCCTTACTGATTTGGTCCAACAAATTATGTTTATAAATGATTCTGAATGATTTTCTATAATGGTAGCTCTCAAACATTTTCAGACAAAGGGCCACTTCAGCAAGGGCAAATGACATTTTCAAGCTGGCAAGAGAAAAATACACTTTTACTTCCCATTTGAGATGTAGCAATTATTCCTCATACTCTGCAAGGTACGTGACATTTAATATATTTTTAAATGTCAACCTCAATGTCAGATTCTCTCTCTTATAGATCCATCTCTCTTGTGCCCAGGGATTTGTCCTGAAACCACACTTGCTGGTGATCATCTTTTAGTTTTTCCTATGTCACTACTTTTTTAGTTTTTGTTTACATGATCTCTATAATTAGCACACCCATGATCTCTCTATATGCACTTATCTTTGCCTTTTTGGTTTTTCTTTATTTACTCCATTAGTGAGTAACCTTTCTGAGTTCTTGGAATGTTCTTTGGAAATATGGGTTATACCTCTTATTGCCTATCATCTTATTTATCTGTATACACATCTAATCTTCCAGGTCATAAGCCTATGGGGAATTGGAAAATATCCTCTATGTTGTTTTCTTAAGAAAATTTTATAATATGTGCAGCTATTTGTATATAAATATTAATTTAGTGAATCCTTGAAACTGAAATGTTTCTTTAACAATCATCTTCCTCTTGATTCTTCTAAAAGAATTTGTTAACCATTCCTTGAGGCTAGGGAAATTTCGAATGCTTCCTGTCTATATCTTAGATTCTTATACTGTATAGTAACTTCTGTAATGTACTATTTCCCACACCCAACTGCCATTTATGAAATGTGTGTATACAAAAGTCAGGTGACTCTTATTAGACAACTGGTTCAAAAGAAATAATTTTGAATTTAGCCAGAGTTCTTCAACTATTAAATGTGTTTAGAAATACTCCCCCTTCAAAGAGTACCCTGTACTTCCAATGTGACAGTATAACAAGTGGTAATTTGAAACTCCACTAATTTTCCTGAGTCTTGAAATGGGTTGTATAGTCATATATAGGTCATAGTGTTGTTTTAGCATTTTCATTTCCTAGATCCTATGTTTGTTTTTCTCTTAATAAATTAAAGAAGGAAGTAAACAGCATTTTCTTTTTCAACACTATTAATTCTGAAGAAAGCTCATCATTTTTTGTATTACAGTTACAAGAATAAATTACAGAAGATGGCAATGAGGGCATTACTCTTGGTCTCATTTTATTTGGTTTTTCTTTTACAATTTTTCATGATACAAGGAACTAAAAAATGATGAGTTTCTGAGCTCAGTATTAAGCTTTCCAGGATCAACTGTACACTTTTTATCTTTTTATTTTTATTTTGTTTGACAGAGGGCCTTGCTGTGTAGCCCGGGATGGCCTTGAACTTGAGGCAATCTTCCTGCCTCAGCCTCCCAAGTGCTGGGATTTCAGGCAGGCATTACCAAGCCCAGATTCAACTATATCATTTTAATAAAACTTTTACATAGTCTAATAGAAAAGACATGAAATGACAGTGAAGAATTTTGAATTTTACTGGCAGGGTTTTTTTTTAACTTTAGTCAATCTTTCTTTTGTGGTGCTTTTAAGACCTTGGACAAAATATTTGCTATATATTGCTTAGTCTAAGTTAATCTGCAGTCTAGAAATCACATCATATAATTTTATTAAGTCTTTAAGGGAATATTTATTAAATAGTCATGTGGATTGTCAGAAATGTATAACAATTTATTAGGTACATCCTGTATATTTTTAGTTACTAAGAATAAATTCAGAATTTTTCTTAAAAATGTTACCCAAACATTTCCTATCTCCTGTTCATTAAATTCAATTGATCACTCATCATTTATAATATTTAAATTAATCTAAATTATGAGAAATAGATTGTGTCACATTATAAACAAATATAAAAATCATCATTGTTAATTCACCAAGAAAGTTTGAACTAACAATGGATGTCATTGCCTAAAATGGGAAGTTAGAACTGAATTTCTCTTTTTGGGAAGGAAGCATGATGAATTTTATGCTGTATTAAATTTGTTAGACAAATTTATTGCTGTATATTTTAATTAGAAATGAAAAAGATAATTATTTGAACTTCATATTTAGAAACTTCATAAAATGTACTTATTGCCATGGCTACAGAGGAGTTTATTTTAGAAAGAGTTTAATGGAATTATAGGGGCTATCATTCTGTATCTCCATAGTGATAGTGAGGATGAATGTGTTTGTCCAGGTTCTGTTACTTGGCTTCTGTCATCTTAAGAAATTCTGTGGTTTAGGGCCAGAGACACGGCTCAGTGGTACAACACCTGCCTGGCAGGCGCCAGGTCCTGAATTTGATTCCAGGTATCACAAAACAAAGAAAAGAAATTCTGTGGTTTAATTTATTAGAAAGAATACCTCCATTCACTTTAGCTCAGTTCAATTCAATTCAATTCTCTTTTGAAACTGTCCAGGAAGAAACCTTTTTGAAGTGCCCTTATTTCACAAAAACAGAAACTTCTAGAGGTGAGGCTGCTATGGTTCCCATTCCCAGGAAAATATTGTGACCACTGACGAAAAAAATAAAAATAAAAAACCTGAAATTGCTCACACCTACATCAACATGCGTGGCAACAAACTCTTTTGTCTCTTGATGCTCGTCCTAGGGAGCAGAGACCTCCCCATTAGGTCGGCTCTGTAAGCCATTAGCTCTGGCAACTAATGAGGTATTTCCATGTCTCCATATGTACAGGAATAAACTTTGTTTTATGTTACTTTTTCCTGTGAATCTCTACACTGTCAGTTGAGTTTTCAGTCCCCCAGTAATTGAACCTAAGAGGGCAGAGAAAAAACTTCCCTCCCAAGTAGGATTCTCTATGAATTTAAATATGCTGGTTACTTCCCAGAACAGTGATTGTGAGAAAATAATTTTATGGAATTTATTATTAGAGACATCCATAATCAATATTATACCTAACATTTTGAAAGTATTGTCTGCTATATTTTTAGAGTTTATGGTTCCTTCAAGCTTAATGGACTTTGTTAAGGTATGTTTTGAATTTTAAAAATCTATAGAAAGAACAGAGGGAAAAGTACAACATAAAATTGTTTTTAAGAGTTCATGTAGGAGAATTAAGCAGAATTTTACTTCCACTGTTTTAAGGTTTCCTTTCATCTGGGCCTGAGAATTAATTTACATAAAGAATGTAAGTAAAAGAAAAGCACACAAATTTAATTAATGCAAGTTTTACATTGGACAAGTAACTTCATAATAAAATGAAGACGCAGAGGAGCAGTTAAGAGTGAATACAGAATTGGACAAAGCACATGAAGTTCTGAAAAAGCAGCTAGATTATGTAGGGAGGCTAAAAAGATAAGAATTATTTTAAAAGTTCTGTACAGATTCTCTTGGTTTTTAACTTCCTGTCCTTGTTGATAAGAACATCCGTTTCCTTCCAGTACCTTTCATATTTCCTGCTTTTAAGAAATGGAAGGGAAGTCAAAATGATCTTGTGTTTGCTGCTTTTCAAGTGCCTGGACTCAAAATAGTAAGTATGCCAGAGTGATTTTTTTTTTTAACTCCTTCAGTGATAAGTTTGTAAAACATCAAGGTAAAAGCAGTTATAGTAGCCCTCTGTGTTACTCAGCAGTCTCTAGGCACAGATTTATGTGGACAATGGCAGAAGAACACATAAAGTAGAAAGATCATGATTTAGAATTAAATAACGCTTGGATTACATACTAGTTTTGCCTTTTCTGTATAACACCATCAGTAATGTTAAGTAATTATAACAATTTCTACTGGCCAAATAGGAGAGACTGCACGGATTTTACCTGTGTAAAATGAAGACAGAAATTTCCTTAAAGAATTCTTGTACAAATGAGCAATCATGTATACATTTGAAATATGTAGCAGAATTTTTGTTGTTTAATTAATAGCTATCATATCATTATAATCAGGAACAAATGAATAGACATATTTTTAAAATTCAGTTCATGTTAACTTCACCAATTTTCCTAATATGAAGATATATGAAGATAAAGATTATCACATAATAAAAATGAATTCCCTTCAAAATTGTTAATAATAAATTCAGTACAGTAATTTTGATGGCAAAAATTTCAGTGCTTCAACTTTAATACAATGTGATGCTTATCATAGTTTGGGCACTCTTAAAGAAATCTTGGCTGATGATGACATAATATTAGGAAGTCATGTGGTAGAAATACTGCTGACTTTCTTATCACGTAGCTTTGATTAACTTGTTTCTCTCACCACAAACAGATTTACACGCCATCTTTGCTTTAAAATATTTGTATTTACTTGTTTCTTTTTCAATGGACCACTTTTGAACTATTGATTTTGCAAATGTGACATATATTAGAGTATATAATAAACACAACAGTATTAGATTTATTATATATATTGTATGTCTAACAAATATACAAGCAATAAAAGACTTAACATAGTAAATAATAATAGGCAAAAGATATGACAATGGTTTAGCTAGTGACCCCCGCTTCTCTTCTCCAAAAGCCAAGTAGTAAAGAAGAAGGAGCCAATGCAATTGATGCATTGTTGCCATGGGTCACACCTGGAACACAAATAGAGGCTCTTTTGCCTGTACAATAGGTAACCACATGTGTTTTAAATTTGAATCACTTGTTAATACACACACATGCTGCACATGCTTAAAAAGGCTGCCTAGAGAGCAGATTTATGGCCAGTCTTTACAAAAAGACATACCTACAGTACATAAATAAAGTTAAACACAAATATTATAATTTGTCTATTTTCAGTATTACAGTACACGATGTGATAATGTTTTGTCAACAATCAGTTGGGCTGCTTTGCATCTTGCCTCTTTAGGGAGAATCTGCTCTGCTGGTCTTCACAGTCCCCTCCTCCCTATTTCTCCCTGACACTGAGAAACTCATTGCCAACTACCAGCCGCAGTTATACACATGACCTGCCTGGTCCTTGCAGGAGATTTTATGTTAAATCCTTATAACGCATGCATCCATCCTAAGAATGTAGAAATTATAATAACCATATTTTTAGAAAATTGCTTTACATTCCAGATTATGTATGTGAATGAAATTGTTCATTACTTCACTTTCCAAAAAAACCCAGCTGTCTCTGGATCACTTTAATCACACAGTGAAAACCACTGAGGGGCTATGGAGCCCACTCTGAGAAAGACTGGTGTACAAGGTAAAGTATTAATTCCTGTATACGGAATTAAATGTCAGGTAGCATCTGACCACTCATTCCCTTCGTAAACCTTACTCATACGAAACACAACTCTTGGCAGAGCTCCTCTCCAAACCATAAGGAAAGACTTGTAATTGTCAGAATTTGCACAGTTGTTAACAAATCCATTAGCTTATCCATTCCTCGAAGAGCATTTTCGCTAATCCCCTTGTCTATCTGCCAAAGTGAATTTGGCTTTTCTATCTTTTCGATTTATCTTTCAAGCTTCAAGAGCAGGCCCAGTCTTGTTTGTCCTCACACGTCCAGCATTTTCATAATTCCTGGAATAAATGAGAATTCAGGTAATTAAAACATGCTTACTGAATGAATTTCTAAAGTGAATTATGTGGCAGTACCCCATTGAAATAAAAACCTAAATCCACAGTTTAAATCAAAACTTAATAAACAGCTGCAGTGATTTGTAAAAAAGAAAATTCATATTCTAAATGTTCATCTTAGATGGTGATCTAGTACAGAAGAAAACTCTTATAGAATATGTATGTGCTACTGAGTTCAAAACAACTTCCATAGTAGAGGACTCTCTTTTCACCATGGGGAAACTCTGTTGCCAAGTTAATACAAGAGATTCTGTTGAAACCTCTGTATAACCTAATATTTTCTCCTATTAGTGCTTTAGAATTATTGAAGTCAATTGGACCCCAATAATTTTGCACTCTGAACATATTTATAACATATATTTCCAACCATTGATGTATGAATCTGATTTTGTACAATTTTTTTTTTTTTTTTTTTTTTGGTTTTTTCTCCGGTACCGGGAACCGAACTCACGACCTTGAGCTTGCCAGGCAGGCGCTTTTGCCGCTGAGCTAAATCCCCAGCCCCCAGATTTTGTACAATTTAACTCACAAAACCAAAACCAAAATGCTTTTAGAGTTCCAGTCCTAAAAAATATTTCATAGAAAGTAACAGAACATTTAGAATAAACATGAAAATAATTTATACTAAAACCTTTATGACCATTGAGTTTTTGATCAGTGACTTCACAGAGTTTCCAGCTGCAGTTTTTCAAAAATCTGGCCTTTCCCCCATGTGATATTGAGGCCGTGACAGTCAGCACACCTTTGCAGTGGTGTGAATGGCTTCCAGTTGTCAACAATGTTCTGAAGTCAACGGCCCCCATTTGACTCAGCATTCTGAAATTAGTTGCATAAATATTTACTTTTAATTGAGCTGATTTTGAAATTAAAGGCAAATGAAAAAATTCTAGTTTCCTTATTTCTTTGTTAGTTTTTGATTGTTCTTCTTGTTTTTATTGTTGTTTCAGTACTGATGATTGAATCCAGGGCTTTGCACAAGCTAGGCAAGCTTTCTACCACTGAACGATTCCTCCAATCCGTTTTTTCTTTTTTTCCACTGTTCTTAACTAACATGGTTGGAAATACTGGTAAATGGGCAACAGTCCATAGTCACAGCGAAAGTGTGGAGCCGTTGAGCTGCGAGGAGTTCTGAGCTTTCTCCTCGGTCCCACCCTCCCCTTTGTCCTGACTGCACACCTGTGCTGGAGGATGTGGCCTTTTCCTGGCTTCTGCAGCTTCTTCTCTTCAATAGCAGGGGCGAGGTCCTGAGCTTGCCTCTTTGAAGGTATTTGTACGCTGAAAGAGAGCTGGGAAGAAGGACTTCTGAGTACTGAAATGAAGATCTTTTTGTGCTGGGGCAGCTATTATGTTGGAGAAAAATGAATCACCCCTCCATCTATCATCAAGAGTAGGTGCTAGGTGATGGTAATTTACAGTCACAAAACCTGCTCTGCTTTTAGTAAGTTAAAACAGCATTCATCCAGCTGAGAGTTTGAACATGATTTATGCTGATGGGAAAATTAACCTTCCAGAGAGACAGACTATAGAGACATTTAAATCAGAGTAAAATAGCAAATTTGGGGTAAAAAAAAAAATCTGTCGGTGAAAACTGCTGGAATGACAACAAGGGAAAAGTTTAGAAATTATCTCATTATGATGTATCATAAAAGTACATGGATTAAGAAAACAAATGTCTACTTTAACAACAGCACGCAGGTTTTGAGTGGAGACAAGAAAATAAGTATTTTCTTATTTACAATTGTGGACCACAGTACAGAGTACATTCACTTGCATCAGTCACTAAGTGGCTACACTGCCCGATCCCATTCAGAATGAGTGCATAGCCATCTGTGCTCTGAGAAAAGTGCCTTTACAAAGGCACTACTTGACCTGGAAAACACAGTTGAAAAGCCATAAAACCTAGTCTGACACCATGACGTATCATCAGTCGGCCATGGAATGCATTTTAACAGAGAGAGCAAATAAATATCAATATAATTTGCTTAAACTGGCATTGAAACATAAAGTTATCTCATTTATCTCTTCAAATTATGCCAAGATCCAATAAATTGAGTGAAATATTGTTGAAAATGAAGTAAATTACAGTGTAGCAATATCATATTTTCCCAAACAGGTAATCACTAAACTACTTGATATAGTATAATGTATTTTAAAAAATTTATTCTTCAAATTTGTATATTAAAATTCATCCTGTTGAATATAAATGAAACATAATAATATAGATAGCGGTAAAAACAAAAGTTAACCAAAGAGTTCTCCAATATTTTAAAGCCACTTAGTTTAAATAAACTTAAACATAGAAACTTAACCAAGCAGTTACATTATTCATCTATCTTTTGCTATGGATACTTTTATACTTGGTGAATTAAATGTGTGAATTAAAATATGTAGTTTAAAGTTGTGATACAGGAAAGGCTAGATTCAAAATCATTTTCACAGGAAATATGGACGAGATCATAATTGTCACCCAAAATACCTAGAGATAACCCTCTTAGCTAAAACATCCCCGAACATCAGCACATTTTCATGAAGTCATAGGGTGGTGTGGAAAAGAATTTATGAAACCTTAACCTCACAACCCAATTCCATAAAAGTTTTTCCTCTCTTTTTTTCTGACAACTTTCTTGAAAATAAAGTAAACACAACTGACAGATAACACTTTGTGATTATTAACTTTTATGACCTTTAAAATATAAAAAAAAAACTCTGTAAAGAAACTCAGTTTGGAGTAGAGAGATTGTGTCTTATCTTCACGGGAAGGAAATGGCTGTTCCTTCTCCCTCTTCCGTGGTGAGTAGCTGAGAAAACGCAAGTGAGCTTCCTTGGATCTGTGAGGAGCTGTACAAATGTTACTAGTTAGAGAGCCAGCAAGTCCATAGGGAATATTCACCTTTCTTGTGATTCTAATCCTTGTGAATTTTGTGGTTTCTGCTTTCTCCATTGTGCCCTTGAAAGAATCTCACAGGGCTACTTGATCCTAAGGAGCTGCACTTTTTTAACATGCTAAGTTGGAAGAGACACTGATACCAACTCAGAATGCCTCTCTACTTCTCTTCTAGTCTTCCTCATGAGTCCTCAGTACAGTTTAAATATAGACTACTTATTCATCAAACTCTTTCTTCCAGCACTACTTATTGGAGACATTTTTCTGGAGGTACTGGAGGTAGGGAAACAGCAAGTTGTCCAAGCAGAAAAATAATTTGCTATCATGGGGCTGATGTTCCATTGCCCAGATGCCTGTTATTTCATGCCTTTTAGAAAAGATAAAAATTTTGTGCACAAAATACTTAATTTCTTAGCTGATCACCCTTTCTCTGGATCTTTTCCTAGGATGGTTTTCAGATGGATAAATAGAGGGTGTGTTTACCTGACCCCATAATGGAGCTTAATCTCTTTATATATGGACTTCTAGTGTGTAGTATGATGTTCCCTGTCTACTTAGTGAGAAAGACAATGAGAAAGATGAGTCCTGGGGCAATTACGTTACAGTGTGGTTATCACTGCATTAGAGATGTTACAGACATGGCTATGGCACTCCATCGCTCCAGGGACAGCATGCAGCAGGACACGATCCAAACGTCTTTGTGCTGAGTTGGGCAGCACGACCTGTGCACATATGTGCAGCACCCTTGAGAAAAGCATGCAGGAGACCTGAAACTAGGAAGAAACCCCATAGCTGGATCAAGGTGGCTGAGGGCAAGTGAGTAAGAATCAGATGAACAAAGGCCCCAGAGGCCAGAGAAAACCTTGCTGACCAAGGAACAAAAGGTTCACCTCAGCTGTAGCGTTGAATGGAAGGAGCAATGAGGAAAGAGGAAGAAAGAAACAAACATATGCGAAAGAAACCTGCAGTCAGGTTTTCTTTTTTCTTTTCTTTTCTTTTCTTTTTTCTTTTTCTTTTCTTTTCTTTTCTTTTCTTTTCTTTTCTTTTCTTTTCTTTTCTTTTCTTTTCTTGTTTCTTTTCTTTTCATTTATTTTCTTTTCTTCTCTTCTCTTTTCTTTTTTCTTTTCTTTTCTTTTTTGGTACCAGGAATTAAACTGAAGACCTTGTGCTTGCCAGACGTGTGCCACTGAGCTATATTCCGAGCCCTACCTGCAGTCGTTTTGAGGAGTCTGATCTTTGTCCTGCGACAAGTGGAGACTGTTAGAGTTTTCTTTAAGCTGGGGACATACTGAGGACAGACTTGCGTATGAGAGGCCCTGCATTATGGAATTTATATGTTAGATTTGCTCTTTGGCTGCACTGTAATGCATAGGTAAGTACTTTTGAAAGTGGCGATAAGTATTTCTGAGGCTGTGCAGTAAAGACAAAGAGACCAGGACACAGTTCCACATTCAGAACATAGAGAAGGAAGGCTGAGGTAGACACATGGCGAGTGGGTGTGAGAATACGGGCCACTTGGGATGGGACTGAGGAAGAGGCAGGAGTTGGGATGTCCTCTTCAACCTGGGCCAGGGTGTTAGGTGGCAGAGTTACTCTCTTAGGTAGGAAATAGAGACAAGTAGCAAAGATTGGAAGGAAAAATAAATTCAGTTTTTCACATGCTATGTTTAGGGGCCTGGTGGTTATCCAAGTAGAAACATTTAGGGAACTATTATAATACGTGACTGTGACATCCAGGAGCAATCTGGGACGGGGAAATAGCCTGGAGCAAAAACCATAAATTTACAGATGTTAACAAAAGTCATGATTCAAGAACAATTTCCTAGGGAGAAGACGGCTGTTCGTGACTTTTGGATCAATGTGGTACCATAATGTGAAAACAGATACCTAGAAAATGCATATACGTAAAACATTTTGTATATGAGTTGTTATGGGCTTGTGGAAGTGGAAGCAATTGGCAGTGATGTCCACTGACCCACTTTTAGGATAAGCATATGTAACAATGCAGTATATAGGACTGAGTTACGTTTCTATAGTATTCTATGAATTGTATCATATCATCCATATTACTCTACTTTGTCTTTTTCTCATTGATTTTTTTTCAAATTAGCACATTGAACTAATGCATTTATTTACCTGCATTATGACATTCCATGTGAAAACAGTATACATTTCATTCAGTCCCTTGTTGCTGGATGGACATTTACTTGTAATAAAGTATACCATTTGTATAAATAAGCTATAATGAGCACACTTGTTCCTTATGTGCTTTTACAAATGAATCCAAAGTATACTCTTGGAAGTTGCTAATTCAAAACATTTAAGCATGTTCATCTTATTATCTACTGAGTTCCAAATTGCTCTCTTCAACCAATTTATAATCCAATCATCATTATATAAAATTCATTCAACATTCTTTCTTGCGCTTGGCATTATCAGACTTAAATTTTTGTAATCTAGTCAGCATGAAGTGAGGGTTCCATTAACTTAAATTTTCCTACTCATTTGTAAGAGGGAGGATTTTTTATCTGTTTATTAGTCACTTGGATATCTCAGTCTCTGAATTTTATATACTTTGTCCATTTATGGATTTCGTGGTTTGTACATTTTCTATTGATTGGTATATATTACACATAATAACCTCCCCTTCCTTATTTATCAAGCAAGTGTATCATTTCTATGTCTACCTTTTGCATTCATTTATGATTCATTTGATAAAATAAATCAATCTTACTTTATGTCATTCTTCTTCTTAATCCTTTATAAGGAATCTTTCTCATATCTCAAGGTCATGAATATATTCTCCAAAGATTTCTCTCTATTTGTTACTAAATTTTAACTTTTAAATATGAGTTTTGAGTCAATTTGGATTTCTGTGTGGGTTGAAGGATAGAAAGAATTTTTGTTTATAAGGACAAAATGTTAAATAATATTTTAAATAACAGCCAAATAACATAGTCATGTATCATAATGTCATTTCTGCCATGTAAGATTTCATATATTACAGAATTTTCTATTATGTTTCATTGTATTTATATGTCCTTCTGTGAATCTCATACTTTTTATTGCTAGAATTTATAATAAGGCTTGATGTTAGATATAGAGCTTATTGTTACAGATTCAGCCTTGTCTTCTGAAATATGTTTCTGGCTTTTTATTCTTTCATGTCTATGAGTATCTCATCAAAGTTTATGAAATTCCTACTTAGTAGATACAACTGAATTTATAGATGAAAGTTGTAGAACTATATTATTTAGTAATTAAAAGCCTTTGGAAGTAATACACATTTGAAAGACAAGAAGTGCTACTTTTTACTAGACTGTGCTACATGTGGGGTAGGTTTACTATATTATCTTTATACTAATAGCAGAGTAGCCATCAGATATTCAATAAATGTTCTTT